GAGCTGTGAGTCCCTGTGAGTCCCTGCGCTCTCACTGTCACCGTCTGCCTGCCGCCCGCACTGCTGTGTGAGTGCAGGGACTCACAGCTCTCACTGTCACCTTCCGAAGGGTCCCCCAGCTCCGGGGGCAGGAGAGCCTGGGGGGCCCCTGTGGGACCTGCCTCGGGCTCCCCATACAGATACTGACTGCTGGTTCCGGGGAGCCCTGGGTCTGGGGGTGGGGGAGCAGCCTGCAGCCCCTCCGGCTGGGCCAGGGCTTGTCCAGGCAGAACGGAGGGAGGCGGGGGGTGGAGGGGCCCGGCCGGGGCGTTCAGCTCCTTCCGTGCACATGTCTCCCGGGACCCTCCTTTTGCTGGCCTGGCTCTGTCCTGGGGTGAACGTGACCCCCCGAGCCTCGGGGTCCTCCTCTTACACCTGCTGCGGTGACAGCTCTGAAGCCCTCGCCCCACGTGAGCTCCCTTGGGTGTTGGTTCCAAACATATGAGATGAGGCGGCTCAGGCTCCCGGGGTCGACTCCCGACCGGCTGGCATCACCTGCCGTCTGCACCTGTCCCCTGCCGTGTCTGCTGGCGGCCTCCGGCCTGGCCGGGCAGCTCTGGAAGGGACAGTGTGGCCTGGGATGTGCTTCCCTCCTCCAGCCACTGTCCCCGGCGGTGTGCTGGCCCTGGGGACCCCGCTGAGAGGCCAGCCTGGACGTCTCGGTCCTCAGAAGACCTGGTCAAGTGCAGTGAGCAGGCTCCCGGCAGCCCACGGGCCGCCCAGGCAGGGCCCACGGGGGAGTGAGCACCCAGGGAGGCATCGATCGAACTGGGCTTGGGGGACGTGGTCAGGGAAGGCTTCCTGGCGAAGGCAGCCTTTGAGCTGGGTGATGAGGGATGTGTAGGAGTTTGCAGGTGAAGGAGGGGGAGCGGGGTGGTACCCCAGCCAAGGGCCAGCCTGAGCAGAGACACCAATTGGTAACTGATGGAATTACACATCTCGGTTGTCTCTGAAACCCCTGGGACGGAGAGAGGGCGGCAGCTTGCGTCCTCAGCATAGGTGCAGAGAGGCCAGGGGCCAAGGAGGGGCTGCCCCGCCCTTTCCAGGGGACAGAGGTGGTGCCCGCGAGGAGGCGGCTGCTGCACGGCAGGGCAGGCGGTAGAAGGAAGGACTGGCGTCCAGGCGTCCGCCTGCGCCCCCTGCTGAGGGCTCACCCATCCCTGCAGGAGTTCCCCAGCTCCCTGGCCCTGGCGGCTTCGTCAGGTGCCCTGCACAGGTGGACACGGTGGGCCCTGTGCTGGGTGGACACGGTGGGCCCTGTGCAGGTGGACACGGTGGGCCCAGTGCTGGGTGGACACGGTGGGCCCTGCGCTGGGTGGACACGGTGGGCCCTGCGCTGGGTGGACACGGTGGGCCCTGCGCTGGGTGGACACGGTGGGCCCTGCGCTGGGTGGACACGGTGGGCCCTGCGCTGGGTGGACACGGTGGGCCCTGCGCTGGGTGGACACGGTGGGCCCTGCGCTGGGTGGACACGGTGGGCCCTGCGCTGGGTGGACACGGTGGGCCCTGCGCTGGGTGGACACGGTGGGCCCTGCGCTGGGTGGACACGGTGGGCCCTGCGCTGGGTGGACACGGTGGGCCCTGCGCTGGGTGGACACGGTGGGCCCTGCGCTGGGTGGACACGGTGGGCCCTGCGCTGGGTGGACACGGTGGGCCCTGCGCTGGGTGGACACGGTGGGCCCTGCGCTGGGTGGACACGGTGGGCCCTGCGCTGGGTGGACACGGTGGGCCCTGCGCTGGGTGGACACGGTGGGCCCTGCGCTGGGTGGACACGGTGGGCCCTGCGCTGGGTGGACACGGTGGGCCCTGCGCTGGGTGGACACGGTGGGCCCTGCGCTGGGTGGACACGGTGGGCCCTGCGCTGGGTGGACACGGTGGGCCCTGCGCTGGGTGGACACGGTGGGCCCTGCGCTGGGTGGACACGGTGGGCCCTGCGCTGGGTGGACACGGTGGGCCCTGCGCTGGGTGGACACGGTGGGCCCTGCGCTGGGTGGACACGGTGGGCCCTGCGCTGGGTGGACACGGTGGGCCCTGCGCTGGGTGGACACGGTGGGCCCTGCGCTGGGTGGACACGGTGGGCCCTGCGCTGGGTGGACACGGTGGGCCCTGCGCTGGGTGGACACGGTGGGCCCTGCGCTGGGTGGACACGGTGGGCCCTGCGCTGGGTGGACACGGTGGGCCCTGCGCTGGGTGGACACGGCGGGCCCTGCGCTGGGTGCTTCCCTGTTCACTTCACCCCACACACAAGGCAGGTGGGTGAGGAGCTGAGTGACTCCTGCTTCTCTGCTTCCTCGCTCGGGCTGACCCGTGGCCGGCTCCCCAGCCTCAGGCTCAAGCGCAGGCATC